GTAAGCTGTCTGCTCAAGACGGGACGGGTAGTGTCTGCGGAGCTCTCCTCCCCATCAAGGAAGGCAGCTGGGGCTTCAGTGCATGCTGTGCCCTGTATTTTGTGGCCTCATGCTCCTTAAGACTTGCCCACTAACATGGCAGCACAAGGGGCAGATGAACCTGGACCTGCCTCAGTCAAAGCACATGCACCTTTCCCCCAGCTGTGCCCATGGGAGTGGTGGCAGCCTTGGAGAAGGGCTCCCCCTCTGGCTCCAAGCTGCTGCGGTGAGAGAGCACTGGGGCAATCCTCTCTCCCCAGGGCAGCCTGCATCCTGACCCATCACCACAAGCCCCAGTGCAGAGCAATGACTGAACATGGGACTCAATGGCATAAGAAGGTTTCCATGGCCTCCTGGCACCACAACTGCAAGGCTGGGTGGCTACACGCAATTCCTCTTCTCCCTATGTTTTGGACACCAGGATACTTTCCTCTGTTTAGGGAATGTGCTAAATTCTTGCGAGCACACAGATCCAAGCAGAGCAACGAAGTTGTGCAAATGGAGCCAGCTGTCAGTTCCAGCTACCCCATTCACCCCTTCCCTTCCCAACAGACTGGTCACTCCCTTTTCAAGACTAGAAACAGGAGTTTTACTGCACTGGACAAGGGTGATTCTCCAGCTCTCCAAAGGCGGACAGGCAGTCCTGCTGGCCCTAGAGCAGGGGTGGGGAATCTTTTTGGGTCAGGGGCCACTGACCCATGAAAAATTAGTCAGGGGCCGCATATAAGTAAGAAACAAAACCCCTCCAAATCTTCACTGATGTGTCCCCAGACTGAGAAGAAGAAAGATTTTGTGTGGGCTTGTGACGGGGCACCAAGACCCCGCACTAAGCCCCAGGGGGTGTGTGCCCTGGCAAAGGGGCCACAGAACACCTACCGGCCGTGCGCCGGCTGCTCCCAAGCCACAGCTCAGCTGGGTAGTGCAGCAGCTCAGCTGAGCGGAGGCACGGCTCACCGGGGCAACGCCGCAGCTCAGCTGAGCGAAAGCGCAGCTCAGCTGGGAGAGCGCGGCAGCACTGCCGGAGTGCTGAGGCCAGCCCTGAGAGGGGGAGAGGCCAATCAGCTGGGCGGACGGCGCAGAGGGCGGGGCGGACTCCGGCGTCCTGGGGCGGCGGGAACTTTAAAA